GGGAGCTGTAGTTTTACAAGTTCCACTTTCCTTCCTCACTAAACAGGTTATACACTTCCTTTCCAACTGAAGCACACCCAAAGGACTGGGAGGAAAAACACCAGCAGACACACAACAAAACTTTATTTCTATTTAACATGCAACATGATTGGCATTATATGGAAGATAGGGGACTGTCTTGCTTTGGTTGTAAGAAGGCATTACAAGGGAATATTTCCCTTCCTTACAAAAAGGAGGCTCCGCATTTCTCTGTCTGGTTTGTACTTCAAAGTTGTAACCACTAGATGGTGCCTAAGAACTTCAACACTACTGGTTACTTCTTTATGATGGGGCAGAGAGGTATATTGCATCTAGACCAGGTTGGCACAACTTGGAAGTAATGGGCCAAAATTAAATAGGATAAAGCTCTTTGGGCTGCAAATAAGTTTTTAGCATCTCACTTCAGGTTTGTGAAAAGGTACCTTTCCCTCAGAGCAAACAACAAAGTGGATTAGCCCAAAATTAACCCACCTTCCCTCAGCAAATAGGCAAGTTGCAGTCCTTTTCTGAGAGGAAAAAGAGGTGCCTTAGTTCTTGCCTCCACTGACCTTGTTTTTCTTTGGGTTGCCTCTGCTGTCTCCTCCTAAGGAGGGATGATGGAAAAACTTAGTTTCCCTATGAAGACCCAACAACTTCATGATGAAGATATGTTTTTCCTTCAGAAGTGAGGGAAATGAACAGCGGGGAATTAAAGGCTTTTCCCACTAGAGGAGGAGAAGATAACAGAGGCAACCCAGAAGAAAAGAGAAAAAGAAGAGTGGCATAGCCAATTTTCTCCCTCACAAGTGAATGTTGTGGAGTTGGTGGTTTTGCCGCCTGGTGAGAAGGAGACAAGAGATGCAAAGAGAAAAGAAGAGAAGCAGAGGAAAGAACAGGGGCCCTTTCCTTTACTACCTTCTTCTCCCTCTGAAATGGTCAAATCTAATGTCAATTTTTAACATAACTTGGAGCTCAAGATTCCCACCTCCCTGAATAAAGGTCAGGTACCCCTTAAAATGGGTACTTAAAACTCTGGGCCGTGCTCTGACTTACAAGAAGCACTGCTTGAATATCAAGCAAAAAGTGGGTGCTAGAAACAGTATCATACGAAAGCTGACTGGCACAACCTGAGGATCACAACCAGATACAGTGAAGACATCTGCTCCTGCGCTTTGCTACTCTGCTGCTCAGTACGCATGCCCAATGTGGAACACATCTGTGAAACAGGCATTTGGTTAATTCGGTGCAATGAATTTGATGATTAAAGGATTGGTAATATGGACGACGAAATTGGATCACGATTTTAGTCAGGAGATGCATTGGATTGTTATTGATGGGCCAATATTGTGTATTGTGTATGATGTTTTTTATGGTTTTAACTGAATACTGTTGATTGTTGTATTTTGTTGTAAACCGCATTGAGTCGCCAGTTAGGCTGAGAAACAGCGGTATACAAGTACAGTAATAAATAAATAAATAAATAATAAACACATTTCACCACACTAAAACAGTGGGTGGTTCTTAATGAGACATGCTGCATTATCATAGGATGTCTATGCCCTACACCACTGGCGAAATTATACTGTTTAGCCAGTATTGCACCACCAGACATCTGCCGAGAAGTAGTAGCCAATAATGAAAGGACCAAAGCAATGACATCTCTGGCCCATCCTCTGTTTGGATATCTGCCAGCAAGGCAAAGTCTTAAATCAAAAAAACAATTTCCTAAGATCTACAGAGATACTCACAGGAATACTTCAGCAAGCAAGAGTCCAAAAGTGGCAGGCTAAAACCTAGAACCTCAATTAATGGCTGATATCGAATGAGAAATTACCTCCTGGACATACAGAAGACTGGGCAACCTGGAAGGCACTAAACAGACTGCACTCTGGCACCACGAGATGCAGAGCCACCTTAAGAAATGGGGCTACAAAGTGGAATCCACTACATGCAAGTGTGGAGAAGAGCAAACTACAGACCACCTGCTGCAATGCGGCCTGAGCCCTGCCACATGAATAATGGAGGACGTTCTCACAGCTGCACCAGAGGCACTCCAGGTGGCCAGCTTTTGGTCAAAGGAAATCTAGTATAATGTCAAGTTTTTATCTTTGTGGTTTTTTATATTAAAAATTTATAACTGCACCCTCAATTTTCTTCTGACACAATAAATAAATAAACCCCTTAATATTTCATCGCTGCAGCCCACTACTGCAATTTGAGTCCAATAACCTCCCCCAGCCATGTTTCCAACTGAGACCATCACTTCCAGCATCCAGGCTGTATCAATGGGTGATGCCTCCTTTGTCACAGGTTAGTTTGGTAACTTTGGTGCATACAGAAAAGAAACATGCAGAGGTAAAATACTTGGAGGAGAGAATGGCAGTTTCTAATGGCTGCTCTGCTGTTGTGCTGCATGTGACCTTCTCTCTCAAAGGTTTGAGCTCAGAGCCTCTGCAGGCCACAACAAATACTTTTGAGGGCCACATCCGGACCCCTGGGCCAAATGGTGTTCAGCCCTGATCTCCACTGTCTTTTGTCTGCTGTCTTTCCCCCCCAAAAATATGTCAAATATATGTCCAGAGGAGAGGATAGAATATCTGCACAGTATTTTTCAGCAGGTCAGTAATGCAAGGGAGACATCTGCCTGAAGACCTTCCAGTACTGGAAAAATACCTTGTTTTATGAAAACAATATTTACTTGGTGCAGAGAATAATTTTGAGTTTTGAGCAATTCAGAAGTAATTCACTGTTGAAAAATTGCCATATCTTAGCAATAGCTTCTTTTAAATGCTCGTGGTGTCTTCACCTCTTCATTGTTCAATGGCAGTATGGAGAAGTGGTTCTTTTTTTTGTTTTGTTTAGAAAAGCTTTCTGTACTAAACACTTATTTAGGGCAGAGGTTTGGAAAGTCCCCCTTTCAAAACTAAAACTCCTAAAATCCCACAAGGATAGAGTTCACAGGGATGAGAAACAGAGAAATATAAGATTGGGAAATATAAAATTTTCTTTATATCAACACTGGATACTGTAGCAAGATGAGGGTATTTATGCCTCAAGTGTGGTTTTCTTCCAGTTCAATAGGAAGGAGAAACTTTGATGGAATTTTGTATCTTCTTAACTCCCTTCTGTTTTTAGAAAACTGTCATTTCTGATCAAGGAGAGAACTGCACAATCCTGGCCAAAACACCAGAATCATATAAGCATGGAGTTGTAAGGCAGCTTAGGCCTCTTCTACACTACCATATAATCTAGATTCTCCAAGTAGATAATCCGCATTATCGGCTTTAAACTGGATTATATGAGTGTACACTGCCATATAATCCAGTTCAGAGCAGATAATCTGGATTTTAATGTTTAAAATGTTGTTTTTATCTTATGTTTGTTTTAATTATTTTAATTTATAGTTATACGTTAGTGTTTAGCTATTACAATTTTTTCTTTCTATATGTATATGGCATTGAATTTTTGCTATTAATATGTTGTAAACCACCTTGAGTCCACCCCCAGGATGAGAAAGGCAGTATATAAATATAATAAATAAATAATAAGTACATTTTATATGACAGTGTAGAAGGGGCCTTAGATATCATTTTAATCTATTCAGCTCAGTTGGGAGTTTCGAATACAGGACAACAGTTTTCCAAAGACGGCTGTGCACCATGGCCATAGTGGCTGAGGTTTCTGGACATTTTGTTCAAAGTTTTGGTGTTCCAAGCTTTGTTTCTGAAGTGGTTTGTTCCACTGTAAAGCAGCTGTCACCATTAAGAAGTTGCTCCTAATGATTAACATACATGTTCAAGGTGACTCCAGTGTGTATTGACCCTATTACAGAGCTCTTTCCGGCAAGATCTAACCAGAGGAGATTTCCTATGACCTTCAATGCTGTTACAGTCCAGTATTGAAGACAGTGGTTTTGCTGTGCCGATAGGAAATCCTGGAACCAGCTTGTAGCCCACATAATGATTACACAAACCTTTAGGACTTTTTTTAATGTACCTTTGTGCATGGTTGTTGTCTAGTCGCCACAGCTTGAAGGTATTCTACTACACTGTTTGCTTTTCTCGTGTCAGGAGCGACTTGTGAAACTGCAAGTCGCTTCTGGTGTGAGATAATTGGTTGTCTGCAAGGATGTTGCCCAGTGGACACCCAGTGTTTTACTATCCTGTGGGAGGCTCCTCTCATGTCCACATGAGAAGCTGGAACTGACAGACAGGAGCTCACCCCACTCCCCGGATTTGAATTGCCGACCTTTTGGTCAGCAGTCCTGCTGGCACAAGAGTTTAACTCATTGCGCCACCACAAGGGCTCCCTACTACACTGTTGAATTAATGTAACTTGATACCACTTTAACTTCCACAGCTCAGTGCTATGTTATCATGGGAATTGTAGTTTTACAAGGTCTTTACCCTTTATTGATAGAGAAGACCAAAGAACTTGCAAAATGATAGCTCCCATGATTTCATAGTGTTGAGCCATGGCAGCTGAAGTGGTATCAAACTGTGTTAATTCAGCAGTGCAGATGCACTTGTAGAGGGTGAGACTTGAGGTTTGGTCCAGGATCCCCCATGGATGCCAAATCCATGGATGCTCAAGTACCATTATATATTATGGCATAGTAAAACTTTGTCCATTTATAAAATGGTAAAATCAAGATTTGCTTTTTGGAATTTAGAAAAAAAAACATTTTCAGCCACGAATGAGTGGATCTGTGGATTCAGAATCAGTGGATACAACAGGTATCTCTATTTTTGTGTCTTCAGTCCTTTTGACAAATATAAATGTTGGTTAAAAGCCATAGAATATAGGCAAGGAAGAGGATGTACATACAAATCTGTGTCTTAAAAGACAGTTTCTAGTCTTCCTGTACAACAGAAGACTGAATGACAGTGTGTTACCACACCCAGTGTGCAATCCTCTTTGATTCGGTTGAAGTTATAGTTGATATAAATATCCATAGTGACAAAAATAAAGTCAATCCCTCCTACACTAGAAAGAATAGTTAAAAGAATCATAGGGTTGTTTTATCATTGTTTTGAACAGATAAGCAAAGTCCAAAGTCCTCTCACATGACCATTATGCTATAGGTAACTGCTCTGAATAATAAAAAAAATCCTGTGAAATGGTTTAGTCATGACAGATATCCTTCGATCAGTGTTTATTGTAGGATAAGCTGGAAAAAAAGAAGTAAACTGCAGTACTTAACTATACTGTAGGAATACATTATCAGATCCTTACATGTATGAGCAATCCTCAAGTTACAAGCAAAATGGGTTCTGTGGGTTTCTTCTTAGGATGAATTTGTATGTATGTTGGAATAGAAATTGACTAAGCCTTAGAGGAAAACAGTGGCAAATCTCTTCGAAAGAAATCTTGCCCAAAAAACCTTTTGTGATTGGGTTGCCATAGGCCAGGAATAGTCTGAAAGCAAACAGCAACAGCAGCAATTTTAGGACCGCTTTTGTACAAGGAATCAAAAATGTGGAAAGGACAATTGCTAATGTCTCCTTTGTCTCAGGTAGCAAAATTCATTTTACCAGCTCAATATGTTGTCGAAGACTTTCATGGCTGGAATCACTGGGTGCTGTCAGTTTTTTGGGCTGTTTTCCAGAAGCATTCTCTCCTGATGTTTCACCCACATCTATGGCAGGCATCCTCAGAGGTTGTGAGGTCTGTTGGAAACTAGGCAAGTGAAGTTAATATATCTGTGGAATAATGCCCAGGGTGGCAGAAAGAACTCTTGTCTGCTTGAAGCAAGTGTGAATATTGCAACTGGCCAACTTGATTAGCATTGAATATCCTTGCAGCTTCAAAGCCTGGCTGCTTCCTGCCTGGGGGAATTCTTTGTTGGGAGGTATTGGCTGTCCCTAGTTATTTCTTGTCTGGAATTCTCCTGTTTGTGAGTTATTCTTTATTTACTGTTCTGATTTTAGAGTTTTTAAATACTTGATGAATCAGCCTGGATGCACCGTATTATTTGAGGACACAGAAATGCTGGATTACTCTAATAACCACCATGTCAGGCTACACAGAGAAGCCATTGAAACCCACAGTCATGCGGACAATTTCAACAGAAAGGAGAAAACCATGAAAATGAACAAAATCTGGCCACCAGTATTAAAAAACTCTAAAATCAGAGAAAAATGTCTGGAATATTCAATTGCTCTTCAGATTGAGCTGTCTTACATCCCTCCATTTGAAACATTTGGCTTTGTTTGCAACACGGCTATTTGTGATGTGTATCTGTGTGCAGGCAGGGAGAGTCATAGGAAAACTGAGGATGAAATGAACAAGTGATGCAAATTGTAACTGGATACCAAATTCATTTTCTCCCAACCAAAACAAACTATTATTTTGCTGACAGTGACCTGTAACTATTCAAGGTCTTTCCTTCAGTACTGACAAGACAACAAACTGAATCATAGAATCATTCAGTTGGAAGAGATCTCATGGACCACCCAGTAGCAACCCCCTGCCAAGAAACAGGAAAATCCCATTCAAAGCATCCCTGACAGATGGCCATCCAGCCTGTTTCACAGCCTCCAAAGACAGACCTCCACCACACTCCGGGGCAGAAAGTTCCACTGCTGAACAGTTCTCACAGTTAGGAAGTTCTTCCTCATGTTCAGGTGGAATCTCCTTTCCTGTAGTTGTTCCACATCCTAGTCTCCAGTACAGCAGAAAACAAGCTTGCTCCCTCCTCCCTATGACTTCCCCTCACATATTTATAATGTAACGACACTTTAACTCAATACTATGGAATCCTAGGTGTAATTTGATGAGGCATCAGCACTTTTTGGGAAAAGTTTGTAAAACTACAAACTCCACAATCTGGTAGTACTGAGCCATGGCAGTTCAAGTGCTGTCAAACTGCATTTATTGCATAGTGTAGATCAGCATTTCTCAACCTGAGGGATGGAGGGGTCGTGGGGGTGTTTCAGAGGGGTCGCCAAAGACCATCAGAAAACACATATTTCTGAGGGTCTTAGGAATCCCTATTGCAGAGAAGGTTGAAGATCTCTCTGCCTGTCTTTCTCTTCCTTTTTGGAAACAGGAGGCCAATCTTCCCACCAAAAGCCCTCCTCCTGCTGTGATTGGCCAGCCTCTCTGCCAACCTCTCAGCCAAGGGGACAGTTAGCTACACCTTGTTTCCTTTAACGGGAACAGAGAGAGAAAAAACCAACCCTGCTAAATACCTACAATTACCAAGTCCTGCCTGATTTGGTAGGATAAGCAGGGTCAGTCCTGGTTAGTACTTGGATAGGAGACTGCCAACTTATACCAGGTGCTATAGTAGGCATGGGAAAACTTGGGCCTTCCAGGTGTTACTGAGACTCCAAGTGGGGAAGGGAGAACAGGCGTGCCTGGCGCATGGCAGTGTGGTGCACATGTGAAGGCGAGGGAAAGCATGTGAGGCTGGAGGGAGGCTCACACCAGCCTTTTTTGTTTGGAATCTGCCCTGAGTCCCTTTGGGGAGATAGAGTGGAATATAAATAAAGTATTATTATTTGAAACACAACAAGAGGAGTCCACAGCAGACACTCTGCTGGCTGTTGAATTGGATCACACGTCGGACACTTCCCAAGTGTCTAGGACTGTGATGTATCAGCGAATAATGTGTGCAGATCCCAGTAAGGTGGCCTTTTGTAGCTGACAGATGGTAATTTTGTCAGCACCGATTGTGTAAGTGCAGGCCGAGGTCTTTAGGCACTGCACCTAGCATGCCGATCACCACTGGGACCACCTTTACTGGCTTGTACCAGAGTCTTTGCAGTTCGATCTTTAAATCCTCATATCGTATCAGCTTTTCCTGTTGTTTCTCTGCAATCCTGCTGTCACCTGGGATTGCGACATTGGTGATCCATACTTTGTTTTTTAACATGATTGTGAGGTCAGGAGTATTATGCTCCAAAACTCTGTCTGTCTGAATCTGGAAGTCCCAGAGGAGTTTGGCGTGTTCATTCTTTAACTTTTTCTGGCTTATGATTCCACCAGTTCTTTGTCACAGGCAGATGGTATTTGTGGCACAAGTTCCAATGAATCATCTGAGCAACGGTGTTATGCCTCTGCTTGTAGTCTGTCTGCGTGCGATCTTCTTGCAGCAGCTGAGGATGTGATCTATTGCTTCATCTGCTTCCTTGCAGAGTCTACATTTGGGATCTGTAGACTTTTCAATTCTGGCTTTGATGGCATTTGTTCTAATGGCTTGTTCTTGGGCTGCCAGAATCAGGCCCTCCGTCTCCTTTTTTAGAGTTCCATTTGTGAGCCACAGCCATGTTTTTTCTTTGGCAATTGTTGTTGTTGTTATTATTACCTACCTGTGGAATGGTTGCAGATTGACAGCATTTTAACTCAGTGCTATGGAATTCTAGGTGTGCTTTGGTGAGGCATCAGCACTCTTTGGGAGAAGTTTGTAAAACTACAAGCACCACAACCCCGTAGTATTGAGCCATGGCAGTTCATGCAACATTCCTGCTTCTTGGCAGGGGGTTGGACTGGATGGCCCATGAGGTCTCTTCCAACTCTTTGATTCTATGATTCTATAAGTGCTGTCAAACTGCATTGGTCTCTAAGTGTAGATGCACCAAAACTGGAACAAAAGGTAGAAGCGAAAGCGAAAGGAGAGCCTGCTTCCGCAAAAAAAAGGGACAAAGAAGGAAGGAGATTTCCTCATGTGATGAATTGGAGAGAGAGAGAGAGAAAGCTTGCGCCTTTGTCCAATTCCGTGGCTTACAGTAGTTTACAGAATTTCACAATGCCGCCGAGGCCACTTGGCAAAAACTGCGGGGAAATTCCTTCCCCGGGTTTGCTGAACCTGCGACTCTGAAGAAAGGAAGAAGAGAGAAAAGAAAAGAAAAAAAACCCCGGGTGGAGGAGAGGAAGAAAGCCCGGGTGGCGGGGGAACTTTTCACAAGGGGAAAGTTCGAAAGTTCCCTTTCTCTCTCTCTTTTTTTCCCCTTTCTTTCGCGAAGGAGAAAAGGAGATCCACCCAAAAAGGCGGCGCGTGGGGAAGGCGTGGGTTTCTTTCTTTCTTATTTTCTCCTCCACCTGGAACTTTCTGTCCCAAATCTGTGAAATGGGTGGAAGCGGGGAAGCGTGGGGTGCCTGCAGGAGACTTCCTCCAACTCGGAAGCGCTTCTTTTAAGCGGCACCGGAGGGGACTTGGGGTTTTCAAAGAAAGCGGTGCGTGACTTCAAGGGCTTTGTGACTTCACTGGCGGGGGCGGGTGGCTCACGGCCCTCTGTGACCCCCAGGCCTCCTCCTCCTCCTTCCCCCTCCTTCCTCCTCTTCATCTTCCTCCTCCTCCTCCTCCTCTTCCTCGATGGCTGGCCCCGGAGAGAGCCAGGCGCTGCTCCCGGGCAGAGGAAGGTGGGCGCAGAGGATGCCCGGCTGCCTCAAGGGCGCGGCCCTCTTCCCGGCCCTCCTCGTCTCCTGGTCTTCCTCCGCCTTCATCGTCTCCTACGTGATCGCCGTCCTCGAGGGACACGTGGAGCCCCTCTTCCCCTACATCAGGTGAGTCGCCGCTGGGAAGCAGAGAATCATGACCTTAGAAGAGACCTCATGGGTCGGCCAGTCCAACCCCCTGCCAAGAAGCAGGGAAATCGCATTCAAAGCACCCCCGACAGATGGCCATCCAGCCTCTGCTTAAAAGCCTCCAAAGAAGGAGCTTCACTGCTGATCAGCTCTCACAGTCAGGAAGTTCTTCCTCATGTTCAGATGGAATCTCCTTTCTTGTAGTTTGAAGCCATTGTTCTTCGTCCTAGTCTCAGGGCAGCAGAAAACAAACTTGCTCTCTCCTTATGACTTCCTCTAACATATTTATACATGGCTATCATGTCTCCTCTCAGCCTTCTCTTCCAGCTCTTTAAGCCGCTCCTCATAGGGCTTGTTCTCCAGACCCTTGATCATTTTAGTCTCCTTCCTCTGGACACATTCCAGCATGTCAGTATTTCTCTTCAACTGTGGTGCCCAGAATTGGACACAATATTCCAGATGTGGTCTGACCAAGGCAGAATAGAGGGGTGGCATGACTTCTCTGGATCTAGACACTAGACTCCTATTGATGCAGGCCAAAATCCCATTGGCTTTTTTTTGCCACCGCATCACATTGTTGGCTCATGTTTAACTTGTTGTCCACGAGGACTCCAAGATCTTTTTCACACGTACTGCTCTCGAGTCAGGCATTGTCCCCCATTCTGTATCTTTGCATTTCGTTTTTTCTGCCTAAGTGGAGTATCTTGCATTTGTCCCTGTTGAACTTCATTTTGTTAGTTTTGGCCACATCTCTCTAATCTGTCAAGATCGTTTTGAATTCTGCTCCAGTCTTCTGGGGCTATCCGTCCCAATTTGGTGTCGTCTGCAAACTTGATGACCATGTCTTCTAGCCCTTCATCTAAGTCATTAATAAAGATGTTGAACAGGACCGGGCCCAGGACGGAAGAGACCACAAGGGCATTCTGCCAGCCAGGAGCACGCAATCCATGCACACCTGATAGATGGTCGTCTAGCCTTTGTTTACAACCCCCAGAGAAGGGGGCCAACTTGGGCCTTCCAGGCGTGGGCCAATTTGGGCCCTCCAGGAGTTTTGGACTCCAACTCCCACCATTCCTAACAGCCTCAGGCCCTTTCCGTTTCTCCCCCTCAGCCGCTTAAGCATGAGGGCCTGAGGCTGTTAGGAATGGTGGGAATTGGAGTCCAAAACCCCTGAAGGGCCCAAATTGGCCCATGCCTGCTCTACACACCCCAAGGCAGTGTATTCCTCTGCCCAACAGCTCTCACCATCAGCAAGTTCCCAATGTTGGAACGGCATTCCTTTTCCTGCAATTTCTATCCATTGCTTCCTATCCCAGCTACAGTTTGATTATTTTTTTATTTATCATGTCAGGAGCAAACCAAACAGTTGTACTGCATTAAAAAAAACACAGAGTTTGCAAACTTGGCATTCTATTAAATGTCCTTTGATCAGTAGCTGGCCACTTGGGTGCCTCTGGTGTTGCTGCAAGAAGGTTCTCCATTGTGCAAGGGGCAGGTCGCAGGTTGCATTGCAGTAGGTGGTCTGTGGGTTGCTGTTCTCCACATTGGCATGTCTTGGATTCCACTTTGTAGCCCCATTTCTTAAGGTTGGCTCTGCATCTCATGGTGCCAGAGCACAGTCTGTTCAGCGCCTTCCAAGTTGCCCTGTTTTCTGTGTGCCCAGGGGGGAGTCTCTCCTTTGGTATCAGCCATTGGTTGAGGTTCTGGGTCTGAGCCTGCCACTTTTGGACTCTTGCTTGCTGAGGTGTTCCAGCAAGTGTCTCTGCAATCTTAGAGAACTATTTCTTGATTTAAGTTGTGGGCGTGCTGGCTGATATCCAAACAGGGGATGAGCTGGAGATGTCACTGCCTTGGTCCTTTCACTATTGGTTGCTACTTCCCGGCGGATGTCAGGTGGTGCAAAACCGGCTAAACAGTGTAATTTCTCCAGTGGTGTGGGGTGCAGACATCCCGTGATAATGTGGCATGTTTCATTAAGAGCCACATCCACTGTTTAACGTGGTGAGATGTGTTCCACACTGGGCATGCAGACTCAGCAGCAGAGTAGCAAAGCGCAAGGGGACATGAGAGAAGCCTTCCTGCAGGATTGCAAGACATATGGATGTCCCCTGGGCAATGTCTTTGTAGAAGGCTGATTCTCTCATTCCAGAAGCGACTTGCAACATGCAGTTTAATAATAGTAACTTTATTTTTGTACCTTGCCTCCATCTCCCCGAAGGGACTCAGGGCGGCTTACATATGGCCCAATGTGCCTAAGACACCGCTTAAATAAAAAACACATAATTCAATAACAGAATAAAAATCAAACAATATTTTAAATTCTGTGTAACAGGTTTAACCGTTGAGCTGCTGAACTTAGTGACCAAAAGGCCAGTGGTTCAAATCCGGGGAGTGGGTTGTTTTTTTTTGTCGTGGCAGGAGCGACTTGAGAAATTGCAAGTCGCTTCTGTTGTGAGAGAATTGGCCGTCTGCAAGGACATTGCCCAGGACGCCCGGATGATTTGATGTTTTATCATCCTTGTGGGAGGCTTCTCTCATGTCCCCACATGAGGAGCTGGAGCTGATAGAGGGAGCTCATCCGCCTCTCCCCGGATTCGAACCTGTGACCTGTCGGTCTTCAGTCCTGCCGGCACTGCACCACCGGGGGCTCCTTGGGGAGTGGGGTGAGCAAATGCAAACCCTGGCATTCCACAGCATTGTGTCATGGTGGTTAAACTGGAGGCAAACTCCATTCATTCTACAGCAGGCATGGACAAACTTAGGCCCTCCAGGTGTTTTGGATTTTAACTCCCACAATTCCTAAGTCTACCAGCTGTTAGGAATTGTGAGAGTTTAAGTCCAAAACTCATGGACTTTTAAGTTTTCTCATGCCCATTCTACAGAGTTGATAGATGAATCATAAGTTTCTAGAGCAGTAGAAAACAAACAGTGGCCATCTGGTCTGTGTTTAAAAGCTTCCATAGAAAAAGACTCCACCACACTCCTAATCAGCATATTCCAATGCCAAACAGTTCTTCCTAATGTTTACATGGCGTCTCTTTTTTGTAATTTGAATCCATTGCTTCATGCCCTAGTCTCTTGAGTAGGGGTCCTCAAACATTTTAAACAGGGCCTATTCATGGTTCCTTAGACCAGTGGTTCCCAACCTTTTTTTTATTATCAGGTACCACTTCACTAGGGACCACTTTGACCAGGGACAACTCTCCAACATTAGTACCAAAAGAGTTACGAATCGGTTTTTGGTCAACTTTAGATTTGGTTTGGTTATTTGGAGTGCTGATTCAGAAAATTGCATTGGATAGACCACATCAGCTCTAGTTTCTGATACAGAACATATGCCATCCAGTAGTTGCCCTAGTGGTGCAGTGGGTTAAACCGTTGAGCTGCTGAACTTGCTGACCAAAAGGTTAGTGGTTTGAATCTTGGGAGCGGGGTTAGCTCTCACTGTTAGGTCCAGCTTCTGCCAACCTAGCAGTTTGAAAACATGCAAATGTAAGTACTGTCTTGGCAGGAAGGTAATGGTGCCATGCAGTTATGCTGACCATATGACCTTGGAGGCGTCTATGGACAACACTGGCTCTTCAGCTTAGAAATGGAGATGAGCACCCCCCCCCCCCCAATTGTCAGACACGACTAGACTTAATGTCAGGGGAAACTTTTACCTTTACCTTAGTCACCATCTGCTCGCACACAGAAAACCGTATTTAATAAGCCTCAGCACTATAAGAGGATTTCATGAGACCCGTTGCTTTCATATTTCAGTTCTTGTGGACCACCAGTGGTCCATGGACCACAGGTTGGGGACCGTTGTGATGGAGGCGGGGGGGATGTATTATAGTTTGAAAAAACATGAATAAATTCCTATGCACACTACATATATCTCATTTGTAGTGCAAAAAACATGAAAGAACAATCCAGTATTCATTTCAGTGGGAAGTGAGGACCGGCTTTTGGCTGATGAATGATGAGATAGACAAGTTAATTCGGATTGTTACTGTTGCGTGCCTTCAAGTCATTTTAGATTTAGGGCAATCCTAAATCTAAATTTTAGGGCAGGAGCCAGGTCCTCTTCGTTTGAGGACCCTTGCTCTAGAGCAGGAGAAAATAAACTTGACCCCTTCTCAATATTACAACCTTTCAAATATTTGAACATGGTTATCATGTTCCTTCTCACCTTCTTTTCCAAACTAAACATACCCAGCTCCCTGAGCTATTTGTAGGACTTGGCCTCCAGACTTTTACTGTTTATATCACCCTTCTCTGGACAGATTCCAGATCATATTGCTTTACTAGGACCATCTTCCAGGCTTGTGTGATTTGTGGTTCAGTGTGGTATTTAGAGGGTGCTATGCCTTTCCCCCCAAATTGGGAATTATATCAACTTAATTTTGTTGGATTGTCAGCAGTTTTGAGTTTTGGATTATGACCCTGGAGACCAGGATTGAAATCCCTGCTCAGCCATGAAACTGGATGACCTTGGGCAAGTCACACTCTCCCAGCCTCAGAGGATGGCAGTGGCAAACCACTTCTGAACAGACTTTGGCAAGAAAATCCTGTGGTAGAGTAATTTCGGGGTCAGGAATTGCAGTTTAGGGCAATAGATTGGTAATACTCAAAGGATGATATTGTCTGCAAGCCTCTGTCTCAGGCATGGGCAAACTTGACCCCTATACTGGCTGTTAGGAATGGTGGGAGTTGAAGTCCAAAACACTTAGAGGGCCAAAGTTTGCCCATGCCTGCTCTATCTGTTGGTGCATGGCAAGTTTTTAGGAAACTAGAGAACCAGAGTAGGATAGAGTAGAACAGAATGTTTTCTTGTCCATGAAAACCTTTGGTGTGACCTTTGACAAGTCACACACTCTCAGCCTCAAAGCAAAGGCAAACCCTTTCTGAACAAAAATTGTCAGGAAAACCCTATGATAGATTCTCCTTAAGATCACTATAAAATAGAAAATTTTCAAAGGCAAACAATAACAACA